CCCCGCCACAATCGCAAGCCTGCACAAGCCCCTCGACCCCGCCCACGGCCTCGCGCACCCCCCGCCCTGGCCCCCAGGCACCAAGTCCGCGCACGCCTACCATGGCGGCCCAACCGCCGCCCACGCCCGCCTCGACCACCTCCTCGCCTCCGGCGCCATGTCGCACTACAAGGCGACGCGCAACGGGCTGCTGGGCGCCGACTTCAGCACAAAGCTAGCCGCGTGGCTGGCGCTGGGCTGCCTCACCGCAAGACAGGTCCACGCTGCTATGCAAGCGTTCGAAGACGGTGCGGCCTCGTCCCCCGCCGCATGGAAATCGGCCCCCGGCTTTGGCGAGGGTGAGAACGAAGGCACGGGCGCGGTGCGCTTCGAGCTGCTGTGGCGCGACTACATGCGCCTGTGCACGCGCAAGTTCGGCGCCCGCCTCTTCCACGCCCACGGCTTCCGCGGCGCGGGGCAGAAGCAGCAATGGCGGTACCTGAACGGGGGGACGGGGGGCGTCGGTGTTCGCGGCACGCCCGCCGCCGCCGAAGCAGCCGCCCGCACCCGCGCAGCCGTCGACCGCTTCCTCGCCGGCCGCACGGGGATCGGCCTCATCGACGCCTCGCAGCGCGAGCTCTTCCTCACGGGGTACACGTCCAACCGGGCGCGCCAAAACGTGGCTTCCTTCCTCAGCGCACACCTCGGCATCGACTGGCGCGTCGGCGCCGAGTGGTACGAGACCATGCTGACCGACTACGACGTCAGCAACAACTGGGGCAACTGGCAGTACGTGGCGGGCGTGGGCAACGACCCGCGCCTTGGCCGCAAGTTCAACCCCGTCAAGCAGGCGCTCGAGTACGATGACGGTGGCAGGTACGTCAAGGCGTGGGTAGAGGAGCTGCGGGACGTCGATGTCGATGGCGCGCAGAGTGGGGGGAGGAGGGGCGAGGAACGCTTGATGGGCCTGTTTCAGGCGTGGAGACTGCCGGAGGGGGAGAAAGTGAGACTGGGGCTGAAGGGCGTGGAGTGGGTGGAGCGGCCGCTCGTGAGGGTCCCGTTTGCGGTGGGGAATAAGGGGGGTGGTGGTGGTGGTGGTGGTGGTTAGGGGGGGATGCTCGTGAGAACGTAGCGGAGGGGAGGAAAGGTCAAACGCGTGAGATAGGCGTCAAACCCTTTTGTTCACTTGGTTGCAGGTGGACAATTGGTGGTAGGGGTGGGGCGGGCGGGAAGGCGGGCGGGAGGGGAGGAGAGGGTGGGTCGGCTACGGCCGGCGAGGGCAAGAAGGGCGCGGGTCGTTGGCGTGGCGGTGGTGGCAGTGGTGGCACCAGAGGCGAAGGCCGGCCGCGCCGCTTAGGCCAGATGGAGAAGGCTGCGCGCCCGGATGGCGATTCGGCTGTTGGGCGGGATTTATGATGGTTGGAATATTCCTGGGTTGGGCTGGGTGGTTTGCTCTGCTTCCCCTGCGGTGCGTTGCGGTGAGTACAGTACAGTACCCTTCGGCTTTTTGAAGCTGGCATTGTGGCTTTTGGCTTTGGCTTTGCTTTGGCTTTGGTTTTGCTTTGGGTTGGGATTGGGATTTGGGATTTGTACTTTTCTTGTTTGTTTATAAGAGCGAGGATTTAGTTAATGGACTTGTTTTATTTTTATTTTTCTTGGACTTGGGCTTGGGCTTGGGATTGGGGGGTTTCTGTGGTTGTCGGTGTGAGTATATGTGGAGGGGGGTGGGGGTGCGTTGTTGGTGTTGGTGTTGGTGTGTCTTGGCTGTTGTTCTCGTCTTCTTTTCTTAGTGGTGTTTGCTGGCTTTATACTGGATTTTTGTTGTTGTTGCTGTTTGCTTTTTTCTTGGGGTTTGTTTGTTTATGCGCTCTTCTTTCTTACCATTACTTATACATTCTTCTTCTCTCTTCTTTGCCTCACTTTTACGTTCTACTCGTCCACCTTCTTATCTTCCTTCTCATCTTTCTTCTACTTCTTCTTCTCCCTGTGATTTCCACTTGTGACTTTATCCTTTATCCTGTTCTTATTTTCATTCCAGAGCCTACTTGAAAGACCCAACATACAAAATAGTTTCACACTTAAAAATTACTAACGTACTAACAACCTAGCTTATCAGCGCTCCAGCACAGACTTCCGCAGTCGGATTTTTACACTGCGTTCGTGGCGGTTCATATGCTTCCACGGACTTTGAATTAATTTTTGGCCTTCGTATAACTATCCGCTAGAATCACTCTTGCGAGTGAACTATAACTGGAAAGAAAGTTTTCGAAATATCTTCGAATTATTGCGCGTAGGCTTATATGGGAAGCTCGGATATTCGTGGTGAGTCTTTCTAATATCTTTTTTTTTTTTTTTTTTTCCATCACCTAGAGTGCTTCTTCAATTCTAACAGTCGATGATTCAAGAATGTAATGCAAGATTTAAGGGATCTTCCGTTTGAGTTAAGCATAAGTTACATGCTATATCCGAAGGGTATCATTCCGAACGAAACTGAAACATGCTTATTGCCTTGCTGACCGCTGCTCCTGCAGGTTTGGCTCGTCACCTGCCAACTCAAGGTTTGGTTCATCACCCTCCTGGTTAGGTTCATCGCCCACCAGCTCGTGAATTTGGACGTTCGATGCATCTCCAACAAGCTCAGCCGGCTTGACCGTGCCGTCAATCTCGACCCGATGCTCTATATCCCCAAGTAGCTCAGGATTGATCTGGTTGCTACCATCCATCTCAAGGCGGTGCTCAATGTCTCCAAGCATCTCGGGTTTCACCTGGTTGCTGTTGTCCATTTCATTGGTCATGTTCCGGAGACCTTCCAGTTCGGCCCCGGAGAAAGCTGTTGCGTTATATTCCGCCATTGCTAACGGCTCGCCATCTGGCTTCAGGCTCTTTGCCTTGGCTTTCTTGCGACGTATCCAGACAAAAGCACCTATAACTATAATGGCGAATACGACGCAACCAATCGAAATACCCGCAATCGCGCCTCCACTGAGAGATTTGTTTTTAGATCTCGATGCCGGATCCGCGGAAGAGTTATCTCCAGAGCTGACGGAACTGTCGTCGAGGGACTTGATGGAAACGATATCTTGCGCAGCGCTTGAATTCCATGAACGTTGGGACAGCGAAAAGTTGCGTCGCTCCCAGTCGGTGATGAGGTATGCTTCTTGTAAAAACGTTCGGCCGAGTGTGTACTGCTCGTAAAACCTCAGCGCAGCTCGCACTACCCATGTTTTCCGAATACTTCGAATGGACAGACGTACCTGCGAACTGTTTGCCGCCTTCTTCAGCGGAAAGTATGTACTACTGCCCTCGCTTACCACTGGCCACGTAGCCGTCAAGTCAAATGCGCTGTAAGGAAAAACGATGTCAACCGATTCTCCTCCAGAGTCTTCGTGGACCTCCCCTAAGCTGAAAGTTACGGTGGCATCCTCCTTGACAAGCTTGTCATGCAACGAGTCGTTGACCTTATAAAGCTTGTCCGTTTCATTCCACTCAAGTCCAAACGCACTCTCAAATTGCTTGCATGCTGACTCTGGCAGCCAAATATTTGGTTGGGATGAATCGAGCGCTGCCAATAGCGGGGTCGGCAGAAGGTCTGTCTCGTTGTCGCCGGCATGTTTCTTGATGGCTTGTATACCAACCATTAACTCACGACCATTGTCGGAGCCAAAGTCGAAGGATGTACTGCTAGGCCCGATTAAGGAGGCGTCGTAACCACCGAAAATAAACGAGCCCAGTGCGTTCCTCTCAGTCGAAGAGCGCGTGTATGATCCGGCGGTGAAGCTAAACGAAGAACTAGGGATCTTGCCGTTCTCTTTCAGTAATGAGAGAAAGCTGGGTCGCTTCGTACGAACATTCTCCATCAGTATCCAGCCCATCCTATCTTACGAGAATAGATGCTCATTCTTACCGGATCACTTCCGCCGTCAGCCGCGGTGAAGTTTGTCGCCAGCGGACTGACGCCGAATTTGCCTACATAAAATTTCGTTGCGGCTATTCCCGCCACGACCGAGTGGTTCACTGGCAACATCGTTCCATCACTAAAAGGGAGCTTGACAGTGTCGAACCCAAATCTCCCAAGCTAGCAGCCATTAGCATCTGACTTAATTTCTACGCTTCAGTAGAACGCACTGCAGTAAGACCGAGATAATTGTCGACCTGACCACCGAGTTCATAGATCCCTGAATCGTTCCAGATCTGGGACGCCGATTCCCATGTCCTGGAATTGTTCATTCTGAAGAGTCCACCTCGGAGATCTTCACATTGGTCTCCGCTGGGGTTAGACGGTGGGCATCCCTCTTCTACTATGACCCAAGTTTCTTGTCCGCCGATGGAGATGTCAACGTCAACTTTCTGGGATGGTGTGCCGACCTGGAGCACAAAGCTGGACCAAGGGCCGTCGTTGCCTTTCCTGCAGAACGTCAATATGCCTTCGTCGACCTTGCATTTGGAAATTATTACCATGCTTGGCTGGGTGCTAGAGATATTGGTTCTGGTGAGACACCGCGTTTTTCAATCGCTATGTCCTGCACCACTGCTCGAGGGGGGTTGGAAGCTGCTATCGCCAAGCTAGTGGACATGAAGAGGGAGATTAGAGAATACAATCGAGAGACCAAAAATTTCCACGGTGAGTCTGCATGACAGCCCTTTGATAATTTTGATGTCATCTCAAGTAGATAGCGGGCTGACCGCTTTTTCCTTAGAAAAGTCAATAATGCCCTGACTGGAAGAATTTTCTTTGGACGACAAGCATCAAAGACCTGCGTTAATTTTGAATCCCACGTAAGCGCAGACAGCAGCTGTCAATATTCGCGCACATTGTCCAAAGGTATGCCTGCTTTGTTATGCGGTCAGATATGTAAGTAGTACTGAATGTTTCGGCGGAGAGAGCTGTGCCATATTAACTGCGGGAAGGGCTTGCATGGTTGCGGGAGGGGCGTGCATAGTTGCAGGAGAGACTGACAGACCGTCTTTCCTAGTTACAGCAACAAATCTGAAAATCTTCAGTTCCATCGCATGACGAGAGTCTGGTCCTCGTGGTCAATGAGGTTGCTAGGGTATGGGATATTCCGCCAATCAATTTTCAGCATTTCTAAGGTCGCTGAATCACCGTAGCCCCCACTTAAACTACAGGCACAAGGCTATACATTAATGTATTGGCTTGGCATGCAGCCAGGCAACCACGTAAGGCTTCCTATTCAGTTCTATTGACATGGCTATCCAAGGTAGCCTCCCGATTTTCGGCAGATGTTGCCGGGCCATGATTAAATTCCTCAGGCAAGGCTGAGGCTCAAGTCATCACCAGGTGAAGTATTTACTGAGTGCGGATTGCCACTCTATTGTTTGTGGTCAATGGTAAGACTTTCCAGCTCCCTTACCAACGACAGAGTTCAGCATTTGGCAGTCTTGTCCAATCCATTAAAACTCCCTCACTTACAGCACGTAATACACACCCAACTCGGTGCCCTTCAACAATCTTACCAGACATCAAGTCTGTGTTACCAATATGCTGGCAATTGTGTGGTTTTTCTACATATCAATAGCTTCTGCCTTGCCATATGGCTGTAAGTTCACCAGTATCAGAGATGTTCACAATAGAGCGTAAAACTAATACCAACATCCAGTCCTCTCAAGCCCTGATAACTCAACGGACGTCGAAGATGCTATTTCAGCGCCAGTGACAGGCGTAAAAGGCGTTGACAACAAAAACAATGGATTCGCAAGCCGAGAAGAGCCAGTGTATGCTTCTGATTCGGATTATCTCCAACAAAGGAGAGGCATCCCTACTTCCAGCCCGCCTCCCACACAAAACGCGGAAACATACTCAATATACCCAACCCCCGGACACGTCGTGAAAGAAACAGACTCTTCGAAATCGCAAAAATCAGCCGTAGAAACTACCAGTTTAGATTATCTCCGTTTAAGGAGAGGCGAAGGCAAACCTGGTGCCTGTTCCACTGGAAATGTACCAGAGGCTGCAAAACAATCTGCGACACAGCCTCAGAGCGAGACCTACTACCCCCAGACGCTTGTAGTGTTTAGCAATGTCGCTTCTACGACCACAACGGCAGAAAAATCGGTAGATACGGCCAGCGATTTAGACAGCCTATCAACGTGGACAGACAATAAACCTGCTAGTAGTCCAATCACGACAATAGCTGTTGATGGTTCTACTGTTCAAAGCAAAGGAGCCATCCCAACAACCACTGGGCCACTGCAAGAGACTACAAAACAGTCATCCATACAGATCATGTCCTACCATCAGACACCGGGACACGAAAGTAGTACGTCACACACCATAGCGTCAAAGACGGCAGTTAGAGGTACCGATCTGGACTTTTCATTGGAAACCGGCGAAACTGCTACTGGGCATCCATCTCCGTTCATAGCCACAACGGTAAAGTCGCTGGGAACAGCTGGGTCCTTGGAACATCTACCTACAGTGACCGATGGTAGGTCTAGCTATGAGACGACTGCGAGCGAAAGCGAAGGAAGAAACCCTCTAAATTCTCATACGCCTGAATCAAAATCGCCGGATATGAAAAGTCCTCCTCTAGGCTATCCAACATCAGTTACCAAATACACCAGTATTTCTCCATCGACGCCTCCACCCAAGCTGCTGGAAACCACCAAGACATTGGATTACGTATCAGCAGTGACAGACGACAGAATTATTCATAGGAGTACTTCAGCCGAAAGCGCAAGACTACCTTCCCAGACCTCTCTCTATGTATACAAGAATGGCACCATCACGTTGACTTCTACGGGGAGCGCAGGAGCGACCACAATAACAATAACTATCCCTAAGTTTACTTGGCCCCCTGCTCTGAAATCGGCAGAAACCACACGGAGTTTGGACTATCTGCCAGAGTCAGCAAATGACGGTTCTACCCATGTTACACTTACAACCCCAACGACGCCTCCCCCCAAATTGCCAAAAACCACTGGGACTTTAGACTACTTATCAGAATCAACAAACAATGGATCTGCCCATCTATCAACCCCGAAGTCGACACCTGCGACTAAATCGCCAGAAGCCACGGGGACCTTGGACTATTCTCCAGAGTCAACAAATAAAGGATCTATTCATCTATCAACTCCACCGTCGCTTCCGCCGCTAGAGACAGTGACCAACGGGAATTTGATTTATATACTATCAACGCTTAGCACAAGTATTCCCGGTGATTGTACTACTCTTTGTTCCGTAGGTCATGTCGTGGTGATATCGACGAATAGTCTAGACTACACAGAACCTGGCGGCGGTACTATAACCAGTCCAACTTTAAGTACATCGTCGACTGGCCACACCTTATCGAAAATCACAGGGATACCAACGGGAGACTTAGACTATACAGCAACTGGCACCGGCACTACGGCTAGTGCACCCTCAAATTCACCACCGACTACTGGCATAAAAACAGTGATATCGACAGGGGACATTGGCGATGACTCTACAACTAGACCAACCTCGAGTACACCGCTTACCAAATCGGCAGAAACACTTGAGGCGTCGGAAGGAGTGGGTTATCTACCGTCAAGTACCGCTGTAATTCCTACCGACACTAGATCTCCCATCGAGAGCGTAGGTACAGTTACAACAAGCCCGGAGGCTGTCACACAACCACAGGGGACCAAAGCATCGGTCACTATGACGACGTTAAAATCTCCAGACACAGCTACTGATACAGCCCATCTGCTATCAGAAACTGGCGATAAAAGCACAAAAGCAATTGCAGCAGTCACCGTAACGGGTGACGATCAGCCTACTGCGTCAAGCGAGAACGAGCCTCCAGCCAAGACCCCGGGGCCTACCACAGTAATTGACAGCAACAGTCAGACTTACTATTTCGTAACAGAGCCTGCGGCTAGCTCTGCCGCTGTCTCTGGTGCTGTCGCACTCCATACTGAAACAGATGGTGCTGTGGGTGTGGGCTCACAAACCATACTCGCCCCCGGAGCTCCTGCAGCGACAATCTCTGATGCAGTGATCAGCGTCGGCACGGCTGGAGTTGTTGTCAATGGGAACACTCTACCTTTCGTACCACCTGAGCCTGTATCAAAGATAGACTCTGGACCAGACTCAAATCCTCAAGGAGAGGCATCATTCACAGCGGCTGACGGAACTTACGTCTACACCCCGGACGCTGGCACACTTGTTCTCGACTCAGGACCCAGCCCTACAGCATTATCTGTCGGCGGTCCGGCTGCTACTATCTCAGATGAAGTCGTCAGCCTAGGAACCGCCGGCGTCATCCTTGGAGACAGCACAACTATAGCTCCAGCCGCGGTACCCGCCAGCTCTCCGACTGAAGTTGCTGTGTTCACTGCCGGTGAATCAGCATACACAGTCTCACATGGAGCAAGCACCATTGCAATTGGTTCCACAACACTGGCTGTCGGTGGGTCTGCTGCTACTATATCAGAGCAAGCTGTCAGCTTCGGATCTGCCGGCGTCGTGCTAGGGGGAAGCACTACGATAACCCCAAAGCCGGTGCCAGCTAACCCTACAGTTGAAGTCGCGGAATTCACCATCGGTGACTCAGCATACACAGTCACAAATGGAGCAAGCAGCATTCCGCTTGGTTCATCAACGCTGGTCGTCGGCGCTCCTGCTGTTACTATCTCCGACCAAGCTCTAAGTTTGGCACCAGGAGGTGTTGTAGTCGGCAGCAACACGTTTCCATTTACCACTGCAGGCCCCGCACCAGTAGCAGTTTTCACTGCCGATTCCTCTGTTTATACCGTGCCCCAAGATGCGAGTACTCTTGTGGTTGGTTCACAGACTTTGACAGCTGGAGGTCCAGCTGCCACTGGATCCGATGAAAACATCAGCCTCGGGACAGCTGGTGTTGTTGTCGGCACCAATACTGTTCAATTTACTGCGAACCCTGTTGTGGCTGCCACTGCTGAACCTGTTGCTGTGTTTACTGCAGATTCTTCTACTTATAGTCTTACTCAAGGGCAAAGCATATTTGCCGTTGGTTTTTTGACCCTCACAGCCGGAGGCCCCGCTGCTACGGTGTCAGACGAGAATTACAGTCTTGGAACCGCCGGCATAGTCATTGGAACCAGCACTCTCCCCTTCATCACGAGGCCTGCTGCAGTTGCCACAGGCGAGCCGGTTGCTGTGTTCACTGCAGACAATTCTGCCTATACTCTTACCGAAGGTCAAAGCACACTTGCAGTGGGCTCTCAGACCCTAACTGCGGGAGGCCCCGCCATCACTGCCGCAGACGAGACTCTGAGCCTTGCATCAGAAGGAATCGTCGTTGGTAGCAGCACTGTACCTTTCAGCGCCAACACGGCGGTACCCGTAGTGGAGGCACCGGTTGCAGTTGTCACTGCAGGCTCATCTACTCATACCCTTACCCAGGGCCAAAACACTTTTTCGATCGGCTCAACCACTCTGTCCATCGGTGGCTCAGCCATCACCACCGGCGGCCAGACCTTAAGCCTAGCAACTCAAGGGATAGTTGTTGGCAGCAGCACTGTCCCTTTCAGCGCCAACACAGTCACTGAAGCGCCTGTTGCGATTGTCACTGGAGATTCATCTACGTACACTCTTACCAAGGGTCAAAGCACTCTTGCAGTCGGTTCAACAACACTATCCATCGGCGGTTCAGCCATTACCACAGGCACTGAGACATTGAGCCTAGGCACCCAAGGCATTGTCATCGGTAGCAGCACCGTCCCCTTCAGTGCCAACGCAGCCAGTGCCACGAAACCAGTTGCCGTGTTCACTGTCGGCTCTTCTTCTTATACATACACGAAAGACGAAAGTGGCGGTCTGGATTTAGGCTCTACGACCTTGAGTGTCGGTGGTTCAGCCGCTACGGTGTCTGGCGAAGTGCTGAGCCTGGCCTCGAGCGGCGTTGTCGTCGACTCTAGCACTGTGTCTTTTAGCCGGACATCCGCTGCGGCGAAGCCATCTTCCACTGGCGCGTCACGAACTACCAGCGCTTCAGGTGATGAACCGTCGCAAACAGCCGAGCAGTCTGCGTCTCCTACGGAGGAGTCTGATGCTGCTTTGGCGCGGAAGACTGCTCGTTTGATGGCCATCTGTGCTCCATTAATTGGAGCCCTAGTAATGGTGTAGAGGTCATGGATATCACTGGTCTATCTTTAATTCCAACTTCCAATACGCTCCTTAATTTATAGATGTGGAAGATATACCCGCCGGGTAGGTAATATGTGGGCACCTGAGAATTTTGGCGTGCAATTTTGGGGTGACCATCTAAATAGCCCACGTCCTAGAGCTAGTATTCAATGATTGAATCCCTACGAAGTGTAAGAGGCGGTGCCAACGGGTAGCCATGGTCACATATAAGATACCCAGGAGCAATTGCGATCACGTGCAGCTTTCGATTGAGAATCTATGAGCCATTTATCGAAATTTGTACGTGATCGCTATTACTTTTGGACTTCCTGAGAAATCAGTCCCACAAGCTTTTCAAGGAGGCAGAATAATGTTAATGGTTTCAATCGGAGAACATACCGTGTGGGCTTGACAATCACGTGCGCAGCCTTCTGCGCATCAGGGCATCTCCATCTTTTTGTTCGTAGGACAATCAACTCTCTTTGCTGCGTCGTCGCTCAACGGGTTATGAGACATTGCGCGCCTCACTGCGCTCGATTCATTCTCACTTCAACTGCTCAGCAGTCCTTCGTGCCACTGGCTTCGTAGTGCCTCGATCGCGACGCGTCTCGAACGCACACCTTCGACATTCGCACCTTCGCGTTAACACCAACTCTCGCACTCGTTGGCTCATGGTCACGGACAGCGATTCCGAACACAAAATGGAGTAGTTGGCGGCGTTTACGGTTACTCACACCTCCGCATCTCTCACATCACGCATGAACTGGGTTGCATGGAAGCAGATTATCCTCGACCACCAGACATTGAGCACATGGCTGAGAGCTAAGCGTCGATCCGGCGATGAAGAACGACCGCTTGTTTGCCAAAACCTTTATCACTACATGAATCGGCCCAACTTCCAACGTTAATTTGTCCGCCTCGAGGGTCCCTACGAGTTGTGGCAGGCCTTGAAGACTCGCTTCGACGAGGGCGTTCTGCACGATGCTCATATCATCGACACGCTCTTCAAACTCATCCATGAGCGACTACATAACCGCCTTCCGCAACGCTGTGGCCGATATGACTTACATCAAGCTTCGTTTGAACGACCGTATCACGTGGGCCATGTTCCTCAATCACGTTGTTACGAACACATTGCGGACTTCCCGCGGTCGACTTTTAGCAATTACGAGTACGGTACCCTCTTCTACTCTCCGAGCCCATTAAGATAACTGGCCCCGGAGGTTCCCGCTTTGCCGTTGGCCGCGGCAACGTTCAACACTTAGCACTACGCGGAAGATCACCTTCAACGACGTCCCTCACATCACCGGCCAGCCGTTCAATCTCCTCTCGCTGAGTCCTCTGTAAAATGTATACCTTTGTCATTTAAGCTAACTCCTAACACCTATATTTTCAAGAAATTTTCAAGAATGATATTCAGAGACTGTAGGCTTCCTCCTTAAGTCGAGCAGACATTACATGCCATGTCTGAACGACATTTGTGCGAATATTCTCAAAAGGCTAAAGCCTTTCAGGCTGCTCTATTTCCACGTTCGATTCGTCAACCGCCAACTCCAGATTCGGTTCGTCGCCCACCAGCTCGTGGACTTGGACGTCCGGCGCATTTCTAAGTAGTTCAACTGGTTTACTCGTCCCATCCATTTCGTTGCGGTGTTCTCTGTCTCCTGGCAATTCGGATTTTATTTGATTGCTGTTGTCCATCTCATTCTTCATGTTTTGGTGGCCGTCCAACTCAGCTCCGGAATGGACAGCAACGTCATCTTTTATGAACTCAGGCATATTGCCGGTCGAGATGGAAGCCCATTTACGTGACGAATACCGACGGCGGAGCCTGAGGAAGGCTACTACGGTTATGACAAGAAATGCCACGGCGCCAATCACGATGCCCACGATAGCACCTGTGCTGAGAGATGTCGATGTTTTCTGAGGCATTTCAGCATCTTTGGTGTCGTCGACTTCATCATCCACCGACCGGATGGGAACAATGTTTGGTGTAGTGGCACTGGAGTTCCACAAACGTTGTGACAGCGAAAAGTTGTTGCGCTCATAGTCGGCGACGAAATACGCTTCCTGAAAGAATGTACGGCCCAGCGTGTACTGCGAATCATCCGCCGCCCTTTTCAGTGGAAAATAGGTCTTTGCGGCACTGGAGTTGACCTCGATTAATGGATAAGAAGCCTTCAAGTCGAACGCGCTGTATGGAATGTCAATGTCGATCGTCTTGGTTCCGGAGTATCCATCCCCAAGACGAAACGACACAATGGCGTCTTCATCTACTAGAGTCTCATGGAGTGAGTCATTAACCAGATACATCTGCGCTGTATCGTTCCATTCAAGTCCGAAAGCTTTCTCAAACATCTTGCATGCGGAGCGCGGCAACCAGATATCCGACTGGGACGATTCGAGCGCGGCAAATATAGGCTCTTGCAGGAGAGACTCTTTACCGTTGGTGTGCTTGGTATGTTTTGTAATGGCTTGGATGCCGACGATTAGCTCGCGGCCGATGTCGGGTCCCATGTCGAAGGATATAGCACCGGGCCTATCGAGGGGCCCAACGAGAGAGGCGTCATAGCCACCGAAGATGAACGAGCCGAAAGGGCGCTTGAGACTCTTTCGCGAGTACGACCCTGCAGTAAAAGCGTACGAAAGGCTTGGAATTCGACCGTTCTTTTTTAACAGCGAGAAGAAGCTGGGTTGCTATACATGTGTTTGTAAGCGTCCAGATACTACGACCTTCGGGGCTTCTAGTATTTATTCTTACCGGATCACTTAGGGCCGAAGAATTTCCGTTCTCGACGGTGAAGTTGGTCGGCCGTGGGCTAACGCCAAATTTGCCCATATAGAAAGTAGTTGTGTTGATTACTGCCACAATCGTGTGGTTTAACGACTTTGTCGTTCCGCCGTCTATAGAAAGGTTAATGGTATCGAATCCGTATATCCCCGTCTAATAGTTATTAGCTACAGCCTTGCACTAACTTATTAATTGGGAAGAACGAACGCCATTAATACGAAGGTTTCCGAGAACGATATCCTCGAGTTGATAGATTCCCGTATTATTCCAGATTTCCGTAGTTGGCTGCCACGTTTTTGAGGCATCTGGGTCGAAAATTCCGCCCCTCAGGTTCCTGCAATCCTCACCGTTGAGGTCAACAGACGGACAGCCTTCTGGGCCTACTACCCATGTCTCCTGTCCGCCGATGGAAATGTCAACAGCATACAGTCCGGGGCCGACTTGTATCCCAAAGGTGGACCACGGGCCATTGTTGCCTTCCCTAAGACGATGTCAAGATAAGGTCCTTTGGTATAACTTTCAAGCCATCGGTAACATACCATCTTTGGCTAGGCTCCATGACTATCGGTGCCGGTAGAGGCTTTCTTTTGCTAATTGCTGCATTTTGCTTAGTGGGTTGGGATGAAAAGAAGAATGCCGCCGCCAAGCTCATGGACATGATTGAAAAGAATGAAAATAGTTGGAGGATTCCCAAATGGGGGCTCCACCTTCGAAATCTCGTTTTTTCGCATTTTGGTCCGGAATTTGAAGATACCGGTGGCATATTGAACGCTTTGCAGACCCACTTGTTCGACGGGCAATCCGAAAAGTCAGCGGCAAGGCTAAAGTCTCGATATCTGTGGTAGGCGGTGAGTCGCGAGGAATCAGCTCACCGGGATATCAAGTAGTCCGGTAAGATATCTTTGCACATGTAACACTGATGGAGTGGCTGATGTTGCTTTTAGCTGCAAGCATACTAATTTGGTTATCGATGCGCTATGTTTCACAACGGCTCAGATCTAGAAACAACCAATGGCAAATTCTGTCCCCTAGCAGGATGAAGCAGATGATTTTGGACTCCATCTAGATCTTCGGGTGAAGAAAAGTCTGCCACTCGTTCTCCAGGACGCGCAAGGCTGTGGCAAGCCATAGTTACTAGCCCACGCAGTGCTGCCGGTCAGCAGATCATGTGAACTGTGGTGTTTCTATGTATGAAAATATTGGCTTGTCACACATGAAGTAACGACACACGAAGTTATGAAGCAGTAAGCATCTTTTATGCTGCTGTCCCCAAGAACAGCTTGTGTTGGTCGTGGGGCTTTTGCCTTGTGTCACAAGGCAAAAGCTCAAGGTTCCACCAGCTGAAATATCGACTACATACTTCTCGTATTATTGCAGCAGATAGAATCGGTTTGCTGCATGCCGTCTCTTGAAAAGCATTTAAAAAGGCTGTTGTCGAGCTTTTATGATACCTTCCGAACAAATTCCGCTCACTTCAGCAATCGTTTTAAAGAGGCGTACCCTCGGATATCTTCAGCTCTGCAGGCCCAAGCGCAGTCTCGTCATGTGGATAATCTTATGGCTATTATACGCAAGCCTAGCTTCGGCTTTGGCACACAATAGTAACTGCACTGATATCACACTGCTTTGGTAAATGGTAGAACTAACGGAATTGGCCAAGGTTTTTCAGCCTTTCGAGGCGGCTACACGACACGCTGTACTTCGACGGGAGCCCCAGTCATAAGTTCAGCCCCATTCAAACCGTCGCATCATGGTAAATTCATTGAGACCCCATACGGATTGGAAGAAGAACGAAGTTAGCTAACAGACATACCAGTCTTTTCGACCTTCCACAATACGACAAGGTGCACTTCGACGAATGATATAATCACAAGTTCCGCCTCGCATGACCATGAACATCCGTTTCTTCATATGTGTTCATGCGCGACAGCTTCAGTGACATGTGGCAACTCAGTTAATATCGGCGTCGAGTTCCACTACTGGCTTCCTTCAACGTCACTTACCCTACCTGCGAAAACGATAATTTACGACGTAGAGCAAGATGCAAGCACGACCATTACTGCAGCCACACGGACTGTTCTAAGCAATATGACGACGCTTGACATGCAGAGTCTAGCAGGTCTCGTCTCCCCTTCACAATTACCCAGTGCAGTTCATTATACTGTTCCGGCTGTTGACGGAATATACGGGACAACTGCAATCATTCAAGACTTTTCGGGCTCCAATTTCACTATGCAAGTACTACCCACATTCTGAATCTATTTTTATTTACCTAACGTCATCTTTAATAGGACATATCCTACTCCATATGCTATTTTTAAGGTCATTTCAGCGACACAAACGGCCGTTTGTGAAAATGGGATAACGACATCTATGGATGCTTCTTTTCCAAACCTTACCCCTTTGGCACTTCCTCCAACATTTAACTTCGCGGAATACAATGGAGAGTTATCTGTTCCTATCCCGGGATTCAATGAAGCGTTCGCCAGCATAAATCCGGCACTTGGCTACTGTAACTTTACGCGCTTCTGTGGTCTACATGTGCCAAAGGTTGTCATCGATCGCTGCACTACGGACATTACGAGTATTCACATAGCACCTGCTACACCTGTGCCGGTACCTGGACAGACAACTTCGTGCCCAGATATTACGGTATTTAGCAGCGTACCAAAGGAGCCTGATAGCTCTCTTTCCGATGGTGGTGGTAACAAACCAGCGACAATGAAGATCCCTGTCACTTCTATCGGTGTCCCTAGTTTCTCTAATCCGGTTCCTTCTACTCCTGAGAACCCCCCAACAACTTCAGAGACATATACACCACCGGTAACATCCATACCACCGGCAACAGCAAAGGTCATCCCTAGTTCCTCTGAACCAGTACCTTCTACTACTGAGCACCCCCCAACAACTCCAGAAACATCTTCTCTCCCGACAACAGTAAAGAGTATCCTTAGTTCTTCTATAACATGGTTTCCTGGTGCTGGATCGAAAATCGTTGTTACAATTACTTCGACGACTTCAAGTACCCCATTCAAGCAAATCACTCATACTGGACATCCTCCAGACACTCCAGAAGGCCCCGATACTGTAGCACCAGCGGAAGCGAAGTCCGTTGTTACACCTGGTCCTTCCAAATTGGATCCTTCTACTACTGAGGGTCCTCCGACAACTCTAACTAAGACTGCAACCGAGACTAGAAGTTCGATGACAGTGAAGACAGACCCTCCTAATTCCAGCCCCTACGAAATGGATATCACTTCAAGCGCAACTCCAAGCGCAACTACAGAAGCAACTGAACTGCAGAGCTCCTTGATGTCAAAGAGCGTTACTATTCCCGAATTTTCTCAGCCGGTTATTCCCACTAAACAATCTTCGACAACTCCAAGTGTATCTACACTCGGTACTGAGAGTTTGACAAAAACGTTGACCGTTGCCACTACTTCTGATCCATCAAGGACGGCTGCTTCTATAAGCCCATCACGGAGTTCAGTTGGACTTGAAACCAGTCCAGCCTCTTCACCGTCAACAAGTGAAGTCGGCTCTACTGCTATCGTGCAAAGCCTCGAAAGCAGATCCCATAACCCAACAACTAAAACGCAATCGGGCACACAACCTGGAAGAATAATCCACGTGGATTCAACAGGAGATGAGCCGCCTACTACACAAACTAAGGATTCATCATCAATTCCAGGAGCAGCGACAGAGACGACATCCACAGTGACTGGCAAGATACACCTTTTCACCGAAGGTTCTAGCACGACTGTGCCCAGCTCGGGCTCTAGCGTCACAGCCATGACTGTCAACAGTCCGACAACTACAATACCAGAACAAGTGGTTAACCCAGAGCCCACTGTCCCTGTGCCAGAAGGAAGCGGTACGACAACCCCGACAGCGACGCAGACCAACCCAACATTAGAGACTGTTTCCCCCACTACAGTCGAAGTCTCAACATACATCGTTACATATGAATCAAGTACCATCACTCTTGTTTCTTCAACACCGGCTGTTATCACTCACTCTGAGGCCGCCTCAACTATGTCTACTAATGCGTTGAGCCTGGCCTCAAGTGTTGTTGTCGACAGTAGCAAAGCTTCTTCTAGTCGAACATCAGCGATGAGAACATCCACAACTAGCGCCTCACGGGCTGTGAGCTCTTCAAGGAACGAGAATTCCGATACAGCGGAGCAGACTGCATCGCCTACAAAACAAGCTGGGGCCTCTATAGTGCAGAGATCTTCTCTTTTGATGGCCATTCCACTGATTGGCGGCCTGATGATGGTCTGAATTTGACAATATATTATGATTTTTTTGTTGGTTCTTTTGTTCCTATTTAATTTCCAGTTTAATTTTTTCCCGATGTTTCTTTTACCCTTTTGTAGGCCTTGGTTCGCCGGGTCGATGTTAATGTAGTGCTTGAGCAATTGGTTGATCATGATTTCTTTTTTCACTTCTACGATCATCAATGTTCGCTTCAACTAATCTTCAATGAAAACATGGAAATCTGTTTGTCCTTGAGAAAAGAATATTTCTTAATACTATTCTGTTTTATTTCTACTATTTTTCTGGGGTTATGGGTGATGTTTTCGTAAATCCTATTTAGTTGAATCTCGAAATATATAACAATGACGCATTGACAGCAAACGGATCGAGTAAGTTTCTAAGCCATCGTGGACCTGAAGTAAATGATTGCTTTGAAAATACCATCGTAGAAAGTGTCTAAGCCTAAGTATACATGACGCGATGTTAAAAACGGAGAGACAGCGATATTGACGAAATAAAGCATTACAATCGAAAACTTCCGCTAAACCAGGAACCCATAAACGCCTCAAGAAAACGCCATAGCCACAGCTATTCAATCTATCCTAGACTCTCCCGGTGCCGGATAAGAAGCCTCGCTACCGCATCGTACCCTTGTTCCTTTGCGAACTTTACCGCGTTCTCGTACTGTTTGGTTCCAAATGGGGTGCCTGACACATCTGCTCCAGCATTGAGCAGAAGCTGGACCATGTCAATCCTGCCGTGCTCCGCGGCACCTTCAAGGGCTGTTCTCCCATCATTTTCTGCTCCACATGCATTGACATCCGCGCCCAGCTCTAAGAGCTTGCTAGCGATTCCCAAGAAACCTCCAATTGCTGCAGCCTGAAGCGCAGTTACTCCTGCCCAGTCCGCCGGAGCCTGGTTAACATCTGCACCAGCTTGAAGCAGTCGATTCACTATATCGACGTTACCACTCTCCGCTGCCTGTTGAAGAGCTGTTCTTGAATATGGAGTTGTAGCAGGGAGATTGACTTCCATACCGGTTTGGAGCAGACGGTTAAAGACGTGGAGTAAAGACTTTTCTATGGCACCACAGAGGACAGTCTGCTCTGTTTTTGTTTCTTCCGGTTTCTGCTCTGTGTTTGTTTCTTCCATTGTCTGGGTAGAACGCCTGTACATATCTGCTCCGTGGTCAAGCAGAAGCAGTGCAGCATTCTCATTCAGTCCGTAGATTGCCATCCACAATGGCGTTGGGAACTTGTCGAGTAGCCTCGTGTATCCGTCATCCAGCTCACTGCATATAATGGTCCCCTCTGTTCCAATTTCTGGATCTGGGAGCGCGCCAACTGAGAGCAGATATTGAATTAAGGCCAAATTTGGACGGTGGCATGCCTGCCAAAGTGCATGAGTTTTACATTGATCGTCAATGCTCAACCCCGATTTGAGAAGTTTCTCAACTATCTCTTGATCGGAATTGAAGATAGCGTTGAACAATGCCTCGTGACCAAAACAGTGATTAGAAGGTTGTAGTCGGCCTTCTGAATCTTTGGAAGCATTCGCTAGTATTTTTTCCACCATTCGGTGATTTCTTTTATCCCTAGCTGATGCCAGTGCACCGGAATCATCGTAGCTCGCGCCCTTCATGAGTAGGAAATCAATGATTTCAACACAGCCAGTATTGATTGCCGCCTCGAGTGCTGACGTTTCGGCCCCCGGATGATTGATATCTGCTCCGTTTTCGATCAAAAATGACACCGTGTCAAATCTTGTCGGCGTGTCTATATCTTCGGAAATTATAGCGGAGGTGAGTGCGGCCTGGGAACCCTCATCCAGATCGTTGATTTTTGTACCAGCAGCCAAGCAAGATCTAAGGAGTTTCAAGTCTCCAACTTGTGATGCTGCATGCACAACGCTTGTCGATTGTCCAGGTAGGCCCAGGAAAGGAATAGAGTACCGCGCTCCTGCATCCAAAAGCGTATGAACTGATTCGTTGTCACGGCATCTGACAGCGGCAGTAAGAGCCGAGGATCTCTGTGGTGTCCAACCAATAGTATCGACCGCAGCACCATGTTGCAACAGCAGGTTAATAAGTGCATGATTGGGGCCATTCTCCGATATTATGGCAAGAAGAAGTGTATTCCCTCTGATAGATTCGCTGTCAGTAGGATCTCCATTTGGTGCGTTGACATCAGCTCCATAGTTCAGAAGTAGCCTGGCAATCGGCAAGTCTCCATGGTAAGCAGCAACCTGGAATGGTGTTGCTGAGTAGTAATTATCAGGTACATTGATGGATCGGCCCTCATAATCTAGTCCTTCAGGATCGGCACCCCATTGCAAGAGTAGATCTGCCATGCCGATGTCGCTGTTGCGTGCTGCACAATAGAGTGCGGTTTCGCCGCTCGCGGCGCATGCATTGACCTCGGCACCAGCGGCTAAGAGCATTCCTGCCATACGGACGTTCCCGCTACCTGCGGCGTAAGTAAGTGCAGTGTCGCCGGCGGTCTCAAGAACATCATCTTGGCGGTTGAGGGCTTCCGGGTTTTTATTTAGGCCTTGATCCAACAATGTCTCGACATGATGGAGGTATCCATTTTCCACAAGCTTCAAAAAGGCGGAGGCCAAGTCTCCCTTCCCAGTATCCAACAAAATCTCTAGAATTTCTTTGGTTCCATCTCGGGCGGCAACATGGGTCATGGTGAAACCCTTCTCTGTGGTGGAGTCCACACTAGCACCAGCCTCAAGCAAGGTCTGTACAAGAGGAACGCTTTTCAACATTATAGCTGCCTCTAGCGGCAGACAACACCAGTATGGGCGGAAAATAAAGTCTTTTTTCTTCCAAGGGCCGGGCAATGCTTCGTCCAGGTTGATTTTAGAGTTTGTAGCTATGGTGTGCACCACAGAGATGTTTTCAGATAAAATGGCTTCCCTGAACACGATTTCAAAAAGGGCTTCCAGGGTTGGTTCGCTGCTCTTAAGCAAACGGAGTAGAACTGGTGCCATTTTTGGAGATTTGAACCATTCAACGATAGTCTGTGCAAGAGTCCTGGTTACATCTAATGCGCAGTCGCCACTATCATCGACAAGTTGTTTGATGTGGTTCGTCGCAATCAAAACCATGTTGGCAAGGTTGGTGGCATTTGGAGATCCCATGGAGGTTTGGGACAACCTGGTTGTGATAGACGACGTGTGCTCAGGTGCTGGCAAAGGAACAATAGCACGAATTAGATGTTTGAGTCCGGAATCCAAGGGATTGTGTCTGATGGTGCTGACGTTTCCCTTAATCTTCCCAAGTGCAATCCGTAGATCTTCAAAAGGTCAGTATCATAGCCAACAAACCAATTAAGGCGGACAGAATACCTCTGAACTCAGACAATTCCTGGAACCGAAACCATGGAAGAGAGCTGAAACCAAGAAGTTGAGCCGTCGACGACCGAGGCGTGTCTTGAGACATCGAAGGCGGAGTGTACACCATAACGCCTTGGGGGGTCTGGCCGCATGGAGATTCCCCTTGGATGGGATTAGCATTACCTTGACTTACTAAAACAAATGACATACCTGATTCTTGTTTCCGCTTCATTTTGTTCCATGTGGGCTCCCTAGTCTCTTCTCCGTATCTTGAAATTGCTTTCTGTACTTTTTTAGTTGACATGGGAATACCATCTAACATGATTTTGGTCTCCTTGTCATCTCTTTTTCTCTTGTGGATGCGACGCGCGACAGCCACCCATTCTTTCTCGGTAAGGTTCTTCCGGAAATTTCATTTCTTGAACCAGCGCCCATATTGTTTGATACTATATCCCTGGTCAGCTAATTGCTGATGATGGTTTTATAACAAGAATATCTTACTCGGCTTTGAAGTTGTATTCGCTATCCATCACTTCCATAACTTTCTTTGTCGTCTTGTTTTTCACGAGGTAAAGATCTCGAATGGTTTCTTTATGGTACTCCCAAGCTGAACTGTCCATTTTGGTGGTACAAAGAATCAAAATGTCGTTTAGCAGAGAAGTGAAATCAGGGATCGCCTGGAGATGCGACCAACTTGTTAAGGGAAGACAGGCAGCTTTTTATGTTAGAACAACGCTTCTGCCGGTCAGCAACGCTAGGCTTCAGACTTACAACTGATTGGCTAACTCCAAAATATCTGAGGCTGGATCATTGTCAGGGTCGGGATAAGTGATTGGTTCTTTACAAAATCCTGCATGGGTGGCGTGCATCGAGCTGCCCTACGGCATCACATGCCACAGGCTTGCGGACAACTGCAGGCCCAGCTCATAAACAGTCGGCTTTCCATGCTCACCTATCCGTGCATGCCAGCCCGACACTGGTCGATGAAAAGAAAAGCCAGATTTTCCCGCAGTTGAACTGCCAACAAGAGGCTGCAACAACACATTAACGGCATGGTACCAAGGCGTCGGAACGTGCTGAAACGGTCAAACAAGTCGTCTCACTCGTCGGGTTCTCCTGCTGCATTGCCACACCAATCCGAGCCCAAGTTGATTTCTCAGCATCCAATAGGATATAAACGTGACGACTAGACAGAACCTCATAGAATTGAAAGAAAAAAAA